TAGATTAACAAAGTTGAATATAATAATTATTTTTTATTTTTTGTGTAATATACTATTGCAATAATATATTTAAATATCAAAGTTAGTGATGAGTATATTAAATACTTGATTACTTAATATATACAGTATATACCAAAAGTTCATATCTATAACAATGTAACAACATTTTATTGATTTCAAATTTTTGTTTTATGATGAGTATAGTAACTAAATGTCCAGATTAATTTTAAAAATTCATAAATTGAGTATTTAATGATAAGTGAAATTGATGACTATAAGTAAACACATTTTTAAAATTAATAAATTATATATACTGTATATACAGTATATGTTGAATTTTTATGTTGAAAATATAAGTAAAAAATTAAATAATATTCTGTAATTTTAATAAACATATCATTGTATTTACTATGTAATGTATTTGATATTTACTAAACAAATAGATCATATAAACCATAATTATAATTAATTTAGCCATAATAATAAGAAATATTTTTTTTAAATAAACTTTTTGATAAATGTTATTTTTTTAAATTTTAATAAGTCTAATTACTTATTTAATTTACATAAAATATTACTACACTTAATCAACACATATTTTAAAATAAAGGATAAAATTGTATTATTAAAAATATGGTTACTTTTTAAGTTTAAAATAATTCAATTTACAGGACTTTATTATGTTTAAAGCATTAATCATAATGTTGTCATTTAAAAATAAATAAATAATGTCCAGCTCATTTACTTTTTTAATTAGAAAAATTGTTTAGGATACAATAAAAATCTATCGGTCACTATAACTATGAGCCATACATTGCATTTAATTGATGGACCGATAATTATATCTATGCATACAATATAAACTATTAAAACATTTGATTGCTTTTGTTAGTTTACGTGCTTTTAATTGTGAATTGATTTATACTAAATACATACTCATTGATATTAATTATTATGCTTATAGTCTGCAAATATTTATATTATCATAAAAATTGATTCATTAGATTTCCAATATTTGCTATTAATATTCTATTTAATAATTTATATAATTATTATAAATTATATTTTGAATATGAATTTAATATAAATATAATTTGATAGTACAGTAATATATATATTTGTTTATTTTTATCTTTAAATAGTAGTAGTAATAAAATTTTATGTGTGAAATACTTGGAAACTTAATGACTTAATTTTAATTAACTATCTGTCTTATCGGCAAATATTTGAGTTAAACTGTAAATATAAGGTTCAAATAAAATGTATTTTGTTTAACTAAAAATAAAGATAATATTAGTTTACAGTATTAATGTTTAATTTAAGTCGATTTTATTTTATTTACCATTTTTGACAGTTTACAGTATAGTTTTAAATGTAGTAATAATAAACTGTGATATATTGTATACTAAAATGTGATTATAGTTAACATTAGTTTTATTGTTACTTTAAAACTATTGTCTAAATAATGTATTGGAAATACATATCGCCTACACTCACATTATTTATAATTAACACCTAATAATATTACGAATATTATTAATAATAGTATCCGGTTTAATAATAAAAGTTATTATTATTATTATTTCATTAGTAGTAGTAGTAGTAGTAGTAGTAGTAGTAGTAGTAGTAGTAGTAGTAGTAGTTGTTGTTGTTGTTGTTAAAGTTATTGTTTTCAATAGAAATAGTTAAAACATTTGATGAATGTTTATAAATGATATATATATTTATAAATAAAACATTTAAAAAACTAGTAATAAATTAAAGAGTTAGCGAATAATATTGTAATTAAGTTATAAATATAAAAATAATAATTTTCTTTCTGTAAATGCAATATTCATTTTTTTAAATGTGTAAATAATAAACAACAAAAAATCTAAAGCTAATTGATAACTTATCAGTGCTATTAAATTAAGCAGTAGTATATATTTATTGGTAAATATTTATTTATTAATTTATGTATTATATGTAATCATCAAATGGAAAAAATAAATACATTTCACAGAATATGTTGAAAACAAATGTAAAATATTTATATAAAAAAAATACTTTTTGAGATAAAATTGAATTAAATTCAAATGAAAACTTTCAAACTAATTATTAAATTACTTTATTTTGTTTTTACTTGTATTTAAAAATTATCTCTATAATTACAATTTAATTGCAAATATATATATATAATCTAAAATAAAGTAAAATATTTCATGAATGTTTATATCAATTGACAGACAATTTATAATACTGTTATAAATTGCTAGTAATAGGAAAACTATAAGTTTTTTTGCTATGCTATCAAATTGCATATTAAAGTATTGCACTAAAGAGTCTTTTACGGTGAACCACATTATTAGCTATAAAGTAATACCTATTTTTTCATTTTGTCAGTTATTTGCTTATTATTTATCTAATGCAACAAACGATGACTAACAATAGAAAATTATTATTATTTTTATCAAATTTTCATTGAATAATCTCGTAGTCATTGATTTTTTATCATAAAAAAGAAAAAATAAAGAAAGAGAGAGAATACCAGGGTTTGACAAAAAAGTCTTGTTTTCTATAATATACAAATCTATTGATAATATTTTGTTAGAAAAACCCATAGAGAGAGAGAGAGAGAGAGAGAGAGAGAGAGAGAGAGAGAGAGAGAGATTGAAGACAATGTCAACACAATGACATTTTTCTTATCATTGCAACCAATAGTTAACAATTTGCAGTAAAATAATGATTTTTAAAAGAAGCGCATCGATCAACATAAAGACAAATGGATTTTATATAACAATAACAAGTAATTCCTATTGAAATGATACTGTAATTTATAGATCAGGTAATCCTATGGGGTATTAATATTAAACATTTAAGACAATATAACTATTGGACAAACTTAGCTATAAAAAAAAGTTTATTGCTAAGTCGTTTTATGATATTTTACAGGTAGTATCACTTTTATATTTGTTATATCATCTTTTAATACTTAAGTGATAAAAAACAGTCTTATAGTATGCAATATTGAAGTTTTTAATGAAAAAAATCAATATTAAATCTAATTAATGATATAAGACTGTCAAGTTTTTAACTCCATTAATATTTCTATGTTATGTATAACGGTATTATAATATGTACTGTACATTATAAATTACAGTATATTACAGTATGCTTTTACATAACTTAACAATTTATTTAATAATTGCAATTATATAACATGTATTATAATTTTATATTTAATTTGGATACATTTATTAAATGCTAACAAATAAATTTGATATATATATTATCGTATTATATATTTTATATTGCATTTGTGTATATATACTGTAACTAATTAGATAATAAATACTAATAGGTTCCAAATATGTTATGTATTATTATATTGTAATATTTATTGTTGTTGTTGTTGTTGGTTATTAGACACGGTTTTGTGCACAATTAGCACTGAAAACCATAGAAATACATAATGACTTAAGTTTATCTACAGGTACTATATATAATAACTATATATATACAGTATATATGTTTGTTATTTAAGGCTAATATCTCATTTGGGAAATTAGTGTATAAAATTAGCAATCGATTAACATTAATAATATATACTGTATTTGCTTTATTTGTTATATTTTGTTCATACAGTTTATTAAAAATAATAATGCTTTTATATTATTTAAAAGAATAAGCATTATCAAATATCATTATATATATATTGCTGTTATCATATATTAATAATAATGCTTTAATACACAATAAATAATTTTATTGAAAGTAAATGTATTGTGATTATTCTACCCATTATAAAGTTTATACTAGACTATAATATTTCTACAAATTAAATATTTTATAATTATTGTGCAATTTTAATTTGGATATTCTAGTATTGTTATAGTTGTAATACTAATAAATAAATTAGAAAATTATAAGCTTGATTCATTGTGTAATTACTATGAGTTATAAAAATATATATTATGATAAATGTTATGACTAATTGTATAACATAATAAAATGATAACTTAATACATATGAATAACGTAAAAATTATACAAAATATTTATTTATATTTTCATGTGTAATACATTTAAATCAAAACTTAGTTTTTATATTTTATTGTACTAAACCAGAAATATATGAAAATAAAAGTTTTTAATATACTATAGTAATATTATTATTATTATTAATATGTAATAAAAAATGTGTTTTAACGTTAAAACAATAATAATGTTTATAATGAAAACTTAAACCTTTACTGGGAATTAAAGGCACAATAAATAAATAATTTGACATTTTATAGCCTTTTGTCGGTTATATTGTTGATGACTATAGTGTTGTGGTCGGCACTGATAGCAATGATACCACTGATATCCGCCTCATTTTATTAGTGTTTCAAATGAATTGAAAGCTCTTATGCGATGCCAATACCAATCAACGGTACAAACATTAGGCACGATATGGTGAGCGCAGCGCACAATACACCGTTCAAACACATTATACGATTCGCTCCTACCGTTCCCACACCACTGTCTGTCACACTATTTATGTCTCACTTTTGCTATCTTTTATCCAAATGTTTTACATTTAGTCAAAACACAAAACCTGTTCATCAGACAGTTGAATGTCTTATACTAATCAATCTATAGCTCAGTTAAATCTCAAATCTCTGTCAAATTACATTTTTGACTCTACTTTGGATTTAATATATTTATATATTATATCATATGTTTTGATGAGCTAAATAAGATAACAAAAACAACTATAATATAATAAAATAGCATTATTATTTCTAATTAATATAATAAATATTTATATAAATATAAAGTATATTAATGTTAATATATATATATTAATATTAAATATAATTGTTGGAAAGTTTAAATAATAAAATTGTTAATAAAGTGTGACCTGATTAATTGTATCAAGATCACTTAATATAATTACTTTAATTAACTTTTGGAAACAATATATAAATTGGATTAAATTATGAAGATTCGTAAGACAGAGATTTTAAATTCAAAATTTTATTACACATTTGTGTTCACTGTTTTGGTTTCAATCAATTACTTTCCCGGTATGTTCTCAAATATATTTTAACATAATTTATGCAATATTTTTGTTTATATTTCCGAGAATATCTATTAAATTAATTAAAAAATTGTAATATTCTATCATAAAATACTATTTATTATTATATTCAATGATTTATTTACGAAATATGCGTTATAAACCTGTATTATGAATTTGCTATAAAAATTTATATTGTTTTTTTTTTTGGTTAATCATTATAAGTTTTGTAACTGAATTTTCGAAAAACGAATTTTGTTGTTATTTCAAAAGTTGTTATAAAAATTTGTATTTATAATATTGCAAAATTTTTAAATAAAAATATAAGTTTATAATTATAATTATAATAATAAAAAGCTTATGAATTAGCATATTTATATAAATTATAATGAATAAAAGTAATATTAAAACAGATAAATAAAAAAATGGATTAATTATAATATTATTAATATTTAAATATAATTATTAAAGTGAAATATACAAATATAATATTCAAAAGTATTTTAAATATAAATAGAGTATTACTTAAAGAATTAAACAAAAGAATTCAATGAAATATTAAATAATATTTAATATATAATAAAAAAACTTAAAATAAAAAATATGGTAAAAATAAAAACAACACTATACTGTACATCAAACAATATATAATATATATTGATTTCCAGTGTTTTAGTCTCAAAAATGTTTATTCATTTGAATGAAATTTGTTTCAATTTAATGAGATAACAAAAATTACAAACAGATTTGTCAAAAACAAGTACTGTATCATCAATTTATTGTCACAATTTAATTCTGTAACATTATTGTAGTAAATTTACAGTATATGATCATTCAATTTATTGATATAATAGGAGAGCACTATTGGGTCGATTGACATTTTATATACTCTCTTTTTCTCTCTTTATTTATTTTATCTTTTAGTCTATTATTTTATTTTTCAACTTTATCATAGAAATCTTTTATCTGTTTTAAGACTATTTTGTAAAAATTTAATGAATATTCTACAGTACATTATTGTTATTGAAATTAATAAAAAATTAACGGAAATGTTAAGATTCAACATTTAAGTTTTACTTATTTTAGTTTTACTGATAACTCATAATAGTTGTGATCTAAATGTCTAATTTATATAGCGATGAATTTTGATACTCAATACTTAAGATACTTTGTTGTTGTATTTTATTTTAGTATAATATGAAACATTACTATTGATCACAATAATTGATATAAATTTACATAATAGTGGAATATAAAAAATGTTTCAGTGTTTAAGTAGTGTATTAGATGTGAATCAATGTGTACATGAAAAACATGTAATACCTAATCAATTTTCAAAGTAACTAAAATCCCAATTTCCTGTTTCACTCTTTTTTATTTCTCTATTAATCGGCAAATAAGTTCATTTTGTTTGGTTATTGAGTTTTATAAGTGTAGAGTTAGTCTCTAATATACTTATGTTGGTATATGTTTGGTGAGAGACCTAACAAGTTCAGTACAGTACAGTACAGTAACTCAAAATAAGTCATTTGTCTGTATATTTGTAATGCACTTGTATTTGACGATAGCTTTTCTAAAAATATTATTTTATTATAATAATTTAAACTAGAATTTCATATATTATTTACAATAACTATACTAAAATATTTAATAACATATATTAAAATATACCGGTATATATATAAAACATATCTATAATATACTGATATATATATATATATATATATATATATATATAATGAATTTGAAGTGTTTCTATGTTTAAACTGAAATACAAAATATTTAAAAACACAACAATAAAATATTTTGTTATATAGATTTAAGATTTACACACAAATGTTTTTTTTTCTAAAATTATATATATAAAGATTTTACTATGAATTTATTTAGTATGGTTTTACAACAATAAGAATTTTTATATGAATATACAATAAAATAAAAATAGAAAATACATCTAGGTAAATATTTTTTATATCTATATTAAAATTAATGTACATGTGTATAGTCTTTATTATTAAATTAAAATTTATCCACAAAAACATCACTGAAATTAAGTATTTTCTACACAAAAATATTCTACAAATAAAAAAGTCAAACTATTTTTGAAATCATTGAAAAACAAAACTATTATTGACTTTTGTTTTATTGATGATAAATATATGAATGCATGTCTTTTCTCATTTGTATAATGATTGCAATTCAATGGGTTTAATACAAAAAATTACTTTTATGCATATAATAACAAATAAAACATATAAATTTACAGATACATGAATCTATGGTTAAATTTGATATTATATATTATGTGTGTGTGTGTGTGTGTGTGTGTGTGTGTGTGTGTGTGTGAGAGAGAGAGAACCAATCTATGAGTTGTATCTCCCGTTTTTACATTGAATGCATTGATGGGGTTTTGAGAACCCTTAAGCTATGTTTCTCTCTAGCGATATATTTGTTAGATATTGGATAGCATTGCGTCTGTAGTATAATGTCAGAGGAGTACCTATTAATGAAAGGCCAGACATATATGTGGACAACGCTTCAGTACACATATATTAAACCGGTATTATTATTATTAATGCTAATTAAACTACCAATATGCTTAGTTACCTGTCCTGGTTCCGAACCCGGGGTGTCATACTCAAAGGCCGACAACTTAGCCTTTCGGCCACCGAAGCCACATGAGAGAGAGAGAGAGAGAGAGAGAGAGAGAGAGAGAGAGAGAGAGAGAAAGAAGTTATTACTTAAAGTGAATCCACAGAAAGCCATAGATTTCAAAATGAATGTAATTTTAAATTAGATGGACTAATGTTATCGAAAAATAGTGTAGATATGTATATAAATTTATACACAATATTAGCTATATATACATTATAAATATAGTTTTATAATTTATAAATGTAAATCATGTTCAGTCACATAAGTTTTAATGTATTGTATTGAAAGCATTTATAGTTTTATAAAGCAAATACACTTTTTGTGAAATTTAACGAATAGTGTTTTAAAAATTAATATTATATAAAACTCATCAAAAATAATTATTAACTATTTTAATTACATACAATAATTATTTTTAATATTAGTTAAATATTTAAAATTAAAAATAATTCTTTAGATACTTTTGCGGAATATTACATAAAAAAGAATTAAATTTTTAATTGCAATTGTATTTATGATTAGTAGTTAAAATTTAATGAATATATTCTTTTAAATTTTTAATTTAATTATTTTATAAATAAATTAATTTTAAATATGAAGTACTTGTCAGGAAATAAAATGAATAACATTGTAATATATTGTAAATTATTTTATATTGTGAACTAACTATGAAATAGAATTACATAAAAATATTTAGATACAATAGTAAATTACAAAATTAATTATAAATTTAATAACTATGTAAATAAAATATTTTTTAAGTAATTTAAATGTTATCAACACTTTTTACTGTAATTTAACACATAATATAAATAGTTTTTTAGTGTGAAGATTTTGAAGAAGTGAAAAGTTTTATAAACATAAATTTAATTTTATAAAAAATCTTTTTATTATTTATAAATATAAATATATAATTAATTCTATAGTAGTATATTATAATAAAATAATTAAAAATGTTAAGATAATTATTATAATAATTTTGTATAAAAATTTATAAATTTATAAATATTTATTGAATATTTTTATTTATATATATTACGTGTTATTATACCTAAAATCTTAATGTATGTATTATTACACTGTGTATTACACATCTTAAATTGCAAAATAGTTTAACATATAAGAAGTCTAATATATATACAATTTATTTTAATACAATATATAATATAAAACAAATTAGAAATTGAACATTAATTTACGTATATATTAATGATTATTATATTAAATAAAATAAATATGTTTGACACATAATTTATTTAAATTTATGATTCATAAATGCTTAATCTTTTTATTTTATTTTACTAATAAAATTATTTATAAATTAATGAATTCAATTAAATTTATTGTTAGTATTTATGACAAATATCAAGCTATTTTATTACTAGTTGTTTGCACTATTGCTATATTATTAACTTTTATCTAAATGAAAGATAATTTATGATTTAATAATAGGTATAAAATAAACAATGGTATCCAATAAAATAAAATTTTTATATAGATATACATTATTAAACTATTTTTATTACAATTAAATTTTATTATTTTGTCATTTTTATAACAAAACTTGAATAAATTATTAGACAAACAAATCTGTGGTCTACATGACTGTCGTTTAATTTTATATAATATAAAACATTAGAGTAATCTATGAATCATTTTATCTTAAAAGTCAGTTTCAAAAATCAATTCATATTTCGTATTGTTTTTTAAATATAGAAACAGAAAAATGACGGAAATTAATGGGAATTTATTGTAAGAATTGTTTTTATGAAACACAAAAATATAGTTATTATTAAAAACATTAATTTATATTTTAAAATAGATAACACAAAATGTCATGTAATTTATAAAGCTTATTAATATATATATATATTGTGTTATTATTTAAGTATTTGAATAAAAGCATAAAATAAAATTAATAATAGATAATTTATAGCTCATATAATAATATTATTTTTACGGTAATTGCCAATCAGGTTAAATTGACAAATCTTGTATTTTTAAGACTAAAATAGATAAAAAAAAATACTTATATAAAATAAGGGATAGCCTAAATAAACCACTGCCCACAACATATTTGAGTGTTGACTCCTCAGAGTAGGCATCACTGATAAGGCTTTCAATTGTCACAAAAACCTAAATCCTAAACGACTTACCACTTGTTATATAGCCTTAAGATTTTCTATAGTCTTCATACCGATCACTAGATTTTTATTAACGTCTCATTTGTCTTAATTTTGAGTCAATTTATATGTGTTTTGTTAATTAATTTTATTATATATTATTAATCAATTTAATGTATTGTTTCTCAAAATTTATTCTTATATAAAATGTAACTGTATATATATTAAA